TTCCACTGCACTTAATGGGATGTGGAATGGCCACATGCCTGTAGCCTTAGCTTTAGATGGCCACAATTGGATGTTTCCTCTGGCCTTTGGATTGTTTGAGTTAGAGACAAAGGAAAACTGGGTCTGGTTTATGGAGCAACTTAGGAAGGCCATTGGACCCATGGATAAGCTAGCTATCTGCACTGATGCATGTAAAGGGTTGGAGTCAGCTGTTAGACTAGTCTTTCCACAAGCAGAGATGAGAGAATGTTTTAGGCACTTAATGGAGAACATGAAGAAATACTACACTGGTGATGTGTATGGCAAAAACATGTGTCCTGCAGCTAGAGCTTACTCACCACACAAATTCAAGTACTTTTTTGACAAAGTCTTCCAAGCTAGCCTAGATGTGCAGAAATGGCTGATAGAGCATCATCCTTTTTTGTGGGCTAGAAGTAAATTCTCAGAACACATCAAGTGTGACTATATCAACAACAATTTAGCAGAATCATGGAATTGTTGGATCAAAGAGCACAAACACCTTCCTATGCATTGCATGGCAGATGCAATTAGAGAGAAGACAATGGTCTTGTTTGCCAAAAGGAGGAAGATTTCAAGGGCCCTCCCACCTGGTATATTGCCTAGGATCATCCATCAACTAAATGCAGCATCAAGGGGACTTGGACACCTGACCATTTCCAAGGGGCACCCAAATCAGGCTGAGGTTACAGAGATCTACACGGATGAAGAAGTGAGAAGGCATGTTGTGTACCTACTTGACAAAGTTTGCACATGTAGACAGTGGCAGATAACTGGTCAACCATGTCCCCATGCCTTGGCTATGATTACCAGCACCAGGCAACCATACATGGCCAAATTTGTGGATCAGTATTATTCAATTCAGAAGTTTCAAGCAACATATGAGGGTATCATTCCTAATATCACTGATAGGAACCAGTGCCCTGAGGTAGACAAAGGGTTCAAATTGCACCCTCCATGCCAAAAGAAGAGAGAAGTAGGAAGACTAAGGAAAAATAGGATCAAGTCTGCAAGGGAGACAGGTGGTAAGGCAACAAGGCAAGTGAGGTGTCCTAACTGCAGTGAGTATGGTCATAGGGTTGGTAGCTGGAAATATCCACTCACTGGCACCAAGAAAAGGTACCTTCTCAATTCTTTTTTATTTGTTACACTACAATATGAAACTGATCCTATCGTTATTGTAGGAAGAGAACAAAGAAGACCACAGTCAAGGTTGGGAGGAAAAAAGCCAAAAAAGGTACCACTGCTGAGGAAGCACCAACTCCAAGGACCAGAGCAGCTTGTTGCAAGGGAGGCAGCAACAAAGGCTAAGAGGGAGGCTCTAGAAGTAGAGCTAAAGGCAGCAACAGCAAGGGAAGCAACCCAAGCAGATGCTGCAAGAAATGAATTTTCAACAACTCAAGCACATGAACAAGTGATGGAGGTGATGGCTTTAGAAGTTCAGCTCCTAGAGACAGCTATTCAGACCACAACAGCTAGGAGGTACTGCTCTTCTTCCATTGATAGCATGATAATGGATTTCCTGTGTAATAAATCAATCATTAATCAAACTTTATTTTCCATAGGTCCTTATTTGCTGAAGATGCACTGGAGGTTGAAGTGCAGCCAGCTAGGAAGATGACTCCTAGGAAAAAGCAGTTGGCAACTAAGGTGAAGAAGACACCGCACAAGACAAGAGGAGGAAAGAGAAAGACAGGAGCCTGACTGGTCTTGTTTTGCCAAGATCATGAACTTTTATTATTTTACAAAAACAATATTTACTACCTTATTATGTAATGAGATGGCCAAAACAATGTATTATTTTGCATGGCCTTATTATGTAATGATGGGCACAAAAACAGCATGCAATGCCCCAAGTTGAACTTGTTATGTGTAATAGGCGCTAAACTCTATTTGTATGCCCAGAATTTGCTACCTGTGTCATGGCCAGGAGTTGCAACCTTAATGTACCCTATCTATCATTGTTATTTGCCTCTATCTTATTTTGCATGGCTAGAATGTGCCTTCACTGTCAAATGTTTTGATTAAGCACTTTCTGATGAAAATAGGACAACACAGTTCAAAGTTTCATTGCAAATGGTTCATACATCATGTTCAATTCATTTTCAAACACATTGCTACAAATCAAGTAATACAACTGATCTGACAACAATTCCAAACACAACAATTGCAACAACAACAATGAAACAATTCATTTTCCACATCAGGTTCATCTTCTTCTCCAGGTCCTTCTCCTCATGGTTAGCATATTCACTGCCCTCTTATCCTTCTTCCAGTTCCTCAACCTCCTCACAGTTGATAATGACGATCTTCTTATCAATCAGCTCATCCAGGTACTCCTTCTGGAATCTGTAGAATCCACACAATTTCGGATTCTACAAACACCATTTCATGACTGTTAAACTCTAGATTTCAAACAAAGAAAGCAAGAGAGATGGAGACACAGCAAAACTGACCCCATTCCTAGGGCACTTGAAAAAGCTCTGGCCCTTGTTGGGAGTGTCCTGCTTGACGCGAAGCTCGATCACACAGGCCAGATGTCAATCCGGACATTGAATCAAAGGAAGCCCGGTTTCTTTACCGACCGGATACGCCACAGCATGCGCGCGCACAGAGCTCCCGCCTCGTTCCTGCCTCCTCAATGCCCTACTAGCGATGGACGACTCTGTCCTTTGCGACATGGTCACCGTGGCGCAGGGACGGCGGGAGGGGAGCAGGAGGCGGCGGCGGCGTGGGGGAAGAACACGGCGGCGGGGGGGATGAAATGAGCGAGGGGATAGCGAGGGAGGGACCGGGGCAGCGTAATGAAGAAAATGGGCAGGGGCAGCGATGATATTTTACCTACGCCTGCTGACTGGGCGCCAGCGTGTCGGGCTGGCGTGGCTTGCCACATGCGCAAATGTGGTAAATGAAGAACTCAAACTTCTCTCATCTGGCAAAGTTGTAAGTGTCATCCTAAGAGTGATAATCGGATGAGCGCCAATCTTAATAATGGTAAAAATATAAATCCCCCTAAATATCGGGGGCGAAGGATGATGCTCGGAGCACCGAGTAGCGGTCCGCCGACGTGGTGGGTTTTGTCCTGTGGGCTTCCAGCCGCGAGGCCGCTCCTTAGCAGGTCGCGGTTGTGGTAGGGAACATGCTACGTGGTACGTCACTTTTAAAAACAATGGGACGAAGGGGTATACAGCTTCCAGGGGCGAAGCCAGGAGAAATGGCTACCGGGGTCGGTACTCATAGTACTAGGGGCGAAGCTACATTGAGCTTGCCTGGTACCAATGCACCACGGTAAGGGAAAAAAAATTCACTAACTGGACAAACTTTCACCATGTATTTCTACAAAATTATGTATGTCCTCTTAGTAGTGTACCACCATAAATTTATAGCGGGCTTCGCCAACAGTATTAATTGTTGATTTATAGGTCTCGATAATATAATACCATGCATAACTTGACATTGATAAAATAACAACCGCATATTATGACAAAATAAGGTTTTGCAACAGTAGTTACCTCTTACATTTTCTCTCTACGACTATGATCCTCCATCTTATGAAAGCAAATTATCACATGTTTCATTGGAATTGTGGTTAAAAAACTAAAGCAGATAGCAGCTATGCGTATAATGTAGAAGTCACTACTAGATCGATACCTGGCATCTTGCTGGATGGAATGAAAGAGAACGTTCTTCACTTCATTGCTAGAACGCAAGTTACACTCTGCTTTTCTAAGAATCTGATTTCGGATTGTATAGCTGGAAAAAAAATAAAAACCCTGAGACCTTAATGTTCAGACGATCATTAATTTAATTACAAATTGCATAATTGGGTATTTGCTGTGTGGGGTACCTGTACGGCTGTACCTCATCTAGATTGAGAGTAGACAGCAGGAGAACACAAGATCGTCAGATTGAGAATGAACTGAGCCATGAGGAGCGGTCTGCTGGCGCTGGCCGTCACGCCACGGCAGCAGGGGCGATGCCCGCCAGGAAGATTTGGGATGCGTCGGGTATGAAGCTAAGCGACGTTCGGCCTTCTGGGCTATCAAGTACTCTCCGTATCTGCAGCATGTTAGCATTCACCGACTCACGTATGTGGAGTTGTGGGCGTATGGGATTGATGGATCGGATGGGCTGATCAGAAGCAGATTGATGGACTTTGGACTGTTGCTGTTGGGCTGCCACCTGCCGAGCCACTGGGGTCTCACGTAAATTTTGCTGGGGTCCAAGCCGGTCAAAATTACTCTAAATAAGGTGAAACGGCAAAGTCGTCGGTGTCGCCAGACCCCGACGTGTGAACGTAGCTTCGCCACTGACAGCTTCAGCTTTCAACTAATGGAACATGTTCCTGGAAACAGGAACGTGTTCTGGAACGAGAAATGCGATCGACATCACCAGAGAATACAATAATTTAACACAAGTTTTCACCAAATTTGGAATTTAGAAAATTCTATTCTAAATGTAAAATAATAGGATCCATGCATGCTGCGTGGTCTCCTTTTTGTGTTCGGTCATCATTTAAGACTTGATGTTCCCGCGTGGTTATCCGCAGCTGTGAGTCACGTTCCATCCTCGTTTGGAATGATGTTCCATCATGTTTCCGTACCATGAATTGAAATGATGTTCCCAAAACGGGAACATGTTCTCAACGTGGGCCATGTTCCCGTTCGAGGCTGCTAAGGGCTGCTCTTCTGGTGCTGTTTTTTTTTGCTGCGACGATGGAATCCAGCCATCGAAGTGTCTGCCGTCTAGCACTAGCTGGTCGTCATGACACGTGTGTCGCACGGTATTTTCTTTCTTGCAAAATGTTATGTACCCCGTACTTCACTACTTCTTTCTCTCCCATAGAATTTGAGGGGCCCTTAATGAGTGAAAAAATTATGTTTCCTGTGTTTTTCGTGCGAAAATGAACCGATTCCTGTAAAATTTATGTAGAATTCCATGGCCTCACTCAACCTCTTTGCATCACAGAGACCTTTGAGCGGTTAATTGATGACTATGTGATCCACCCTCCAGCCCATCTTCAGGATGAGGCCAAAGGCGGCGAAGCCATACTTTAGACAGCCCATGCGACAGAAGTAACCGATGAGGATGTTGTAGGTGCAACTGCTGGGGGCCACCTTGATGGAGCATTCACGGATCATCCAATTGAAGAGGGAGACAACGAGCTCTGAGTCTGAGGTGGAGGAGCAGCGCCGGCCCGAGGCACCAGAGACAGCGGTGAGGATCTGGTTGAAGGCGGTAACCGAGGCAGGACTAGCGTGGCGTGGCGAAGCAATTCGTCGAACAGCTTGAGCGGGTCCAAAAACACATTTGGTTATGGCGGGCATGGAATTGATCCAATCCAATTCTCACTGATCCAAACAATTATGCAACCTCCCCACCGCCGACCGGAAAGGAGTCACTTGTGTCGTGCGCTTTGCTCGGCTACGACATAAGGCAACACCACCATTGTTGCTCCCATGTCACTAGAGTTTAAGGATTATGGCGGATCTAAATGTGATTCCTCTCCCCCATCTCGTTTGCCTCATCCCCTACCCTCCATCTCATCGGCCTACCCATTTTGGGTTTCAAGTTTATGCCATATAGATTAACTACTTGGGCCGAGTGATTCACTAGCAGCCAGGTCAGTTCTAGGAGGTAATCGCTGGTGGCTAGGTTGACTATAGGAGGCTTTCTTCTGCATGGCCAAGTGGGCTCCATATCCCACCCCTTGTTGGTAATGGTGAGGACGCCTACACCTTTTGGTAGTGTAATCTTAGGAGCCTTCAAGCTAGTCTCAGTGGGAGTTTTATGAGAGTTTCATCTGCATTAATTAGATTGCCACATTGGTATTTTTTATGACATGTCAATGTTTCAAGAGATGAAACTCACTTGGCACGATTATCAACTCTCTGTGACTCATGAAATTAAATGCCTATGAAATTATAGAATGAAACTTTCTATTGGGAGTAGGTGTTTCATCCAAGTTTCATTTCACTCTGTATAACATGGCAGTCTTAGAAACAATGCTATGAAACTATGGACCTTTTGTTGTATAGGAGATGGAATTATTTGGACTACCACCTTATTTCCTACTTCCTCTGTCATGAAATGGATTTGAAGATTCAAAATTTATATCAAAATATAAAGTATTTGGACTACCCCTCTCTTCTTTGTCTTTTTTTATAGGAAATATTGAGATTCCTTTTAAACTTGGTGTCATCTTAAAAGACAACCTGTAACTAAGGAAAATAACAACTTAACAACTCCATCATAATTAGCCAGGGGCAAGGTGGTCTTTGGCCAAACTTCTTATTTTGTTTGAAAATCGTCTGAATCCCTTATACTTTAGCATGAAGACCGTGTATATTTTAGTACACTACTTTTGTTGTTTATAAATTGTCTATGTCTATATAACTATACTGCCATATGTATTGGTGTACTATGAGCCAATTTAGATGGATTAGGACTAACAATTAGTTCTATTGGCTCTATATATGGACTAATGGACTAATAACTAGTTCATGGTGGGACTAATAATTAGTCTGTTTGTTTTGGATACTTAGGGATTAAAAATTAGTCAAGTAGTTGTTAGACCTATAAGTTCAAACAGAGTCTATGGTACGGTCCAATAGGAGAATGTATTTTTTCATACAGTTTAGTAATTTACATTGTGATGGTAACCAGAGCATGTGTGCACATGGACGTAGCTACGTGGGGGCCAAACTGGGTCCTAGCCCCCCCTTGCTCCGATTGCATCACTCTGGAAGTTTGTCTGTCGCTCCATGCATGCAATTAATTCATGTCTCTCTTCTACCATGCTTGCTGTTACTGATGAGTGGATCACAGCTTACAAGTATATAAATCCGCACATTGTTCATTCTTCTTTGACAGAATTCTAATTGTTTATTGCAGTCTATATAGATAGAACTTGAAAAAACAAAGATTTTTCACAGAATTCCAATTGTCTATACTACTATTAGTAATTACTGTAACAGTATAGCTTTGAATTAGCCCCTGCACATTCATGCAAGCTCGGCCACTGTGTGTGCATACATTCTCTGTGTCAATCTAGCTCTCCAAAAAACTGCCAAATGAGGTGAAAATAATCAAGGGATCAAACCCCCGGCATAGACGTTGGTTAGGTAGTCGGGGTGGATTCACCCGATCCCCTTGGTTTAGTACACACGCATCTACATCCTGTGTCACTGTGTGTGTAGCTTGTGAGGAACCCATCAACCGTCAAAATAAAATTCGTTCAAAACCGAACTTTCCTGGGCAGTAAGCTGCGTGCTTGTGCTACATGTTTCTTCTGGTAATGTAATTTGTGTTTTGCTGTTACTCGGTTCTGAGTCTCTTTATTTGTAGATAGAAAGTGAACTCTGATGACAAAAGGCATATAACGATGCAAAAAGAATTCCTGGTTCGGAACACAGCTATTTTCTTTTCCTGAAGATGAGAAGACTAAACTGATTGTCGGATTCCATATTTGTTTGTGGGTCTTGGATGTCAGAATATATTTATATACATGCTTGGTAATTGGTACTAGGGCCTTGTTTAGATTGTAAATTTTTGCAATCCGGACACTGTAGTACGTTTCGTTTGTATTTGACAAACTTTGTCCGATCATGGACTAACTAGGCTCAAAAGATTCATCTCGTGATTTACAATCAAACTGTGCAATTAATTTTTTTTTTACCTACATTTAATGCTCCATACATGTGTCTAAAAATTGATGTGATGGAGAGAGAGTGAAAAAACTTAGAATTTTGATGGGATCTAAACAAGACCTTGTAGTTTGGTACCAATCTAGAAATTCAGGTACCCGGCGTTTTCAGATTTGATTTGAAGAACATGCATGGCTCGCTGACTGAATAAAGGCAGAATCAAAATTGGCTGGGCCAATGTGTTTGGTTACGCAAATGTGGACGAGGGCCAAGCAAATGGGCCGACCAAAGAGAAACCACCTGATTGAAAATCTTTTCTTTTAAGATGGTAAAGAGCTTTACCCCTACGCCGAAGGTGAGAAAAGATAAACCCTACGGTAAAATAAAAAAAAAACTCCTAGCTAACTGCCACCAGTTGCCAACAACTATTTACCTGCAAGATCATGAATGTGGAGATCTATTATTGTGTTGTTGATTCTGAAACCGCGCTTTCCCTGACAAGGCATTGCCTCTACAAACAGGCATCATGCACATGCTTATGCCCTCAATGCAAAGAAGAGCAAATGGTTGGCAGCATCGTTCAATGATGCCTGACACCGCCCACCTCTAATTCAGGGCACCAGTTAACGTTGCTGCCCCAAATAGCACCTGTCCCGCGCCAAACACTCGTATGCACAGGTGCCGGATCGGAACCACACCATTTTCTGCATACATATGTTAGTTTGGTTGCAGTGGTGGCTCCGAGTGAGTTCAAGGTAACTTCTTGGAGCCTTGTGCGTGGCTCTATCTCGCCGATGGAAACCAGTGGTAGGATGGGTGGTTGGTTACGGACCTGTCTGTTTGGATTGAAGGATTTTCATAGGAATTCTGGAGTTCGCCATTCCTGTGGAAAGGGAATGCGTGGATGCGTTTGGAACAACGGAAATCATATTTCGGCCTTGTTTAGATTGTAAATTTTTGCAATCCGGATACTGTAGTATGTTTCGTTTGTATTTGACAAACTTTGTCCGATCATGGACTAAATAGGCTCAAAAGATTCATCTCATGATTTACAACCAAACTGTGCAATTAATTATTTTTTTATCTACATTTAATGCTCCATGTATGTGTCCAAAAATTAATGTGATGGAGAGAGAGTGAAAAAACTTGAAATTTTAATGGGATCTAAACAAGTCCTTCCTTTCCTCCGGAACAGAACAAAGCCATGTACATTTTAAAGGAAAAAAAAGAATCCACTCAGAACCGAGACAAATCTTCGTCTCTCGCTCCGTGGCTTGCTAATCACAGCTGTTATCAGTGCTTGCCTATTGCTGTCTTGCTCCCGCCATGGAACAATCACATGTCTATTAATTATATTAAATTGTTACTAATTTTTTCTTTACTCCTTGCAAAAAAAACTTTACACATATGTTTATTTGTTAATTAAAATTTGACGTTGTAATGACAAATATTTGAATAATAAAATAAATATTCATCTCTTTTAATCACACCTCATGTTTTGGAAATCTTGTGTTATAATTCCTACATTCCAAACACCTCTATCTATATATTTCCTGTGTTTTTCCATTCCTATGTTTTCCCACAACACCTACACCCCATTCCTGTGTTTTCTTCCTTTTCTCTGTTTTGCATTCCTTTATTCCAAACAGGCCTTAGGGCTCTTTTGGAAGCGAGGGAAGCAAAACCTAGAGATGAAACCCCCCACTAAAAACTAGAATGATAATTAGAATGATATCTTCATGGATTACCCACCCAGGAAAAAATCCATGATCTCGGAGGGATTGGAGTTTCTAAATTAGGCCTAAGGAGTGTTTGGGGTAGCAATGGCAAGCAGTTAGTGGATTGGCAACTGGATATGGACGATTGCATGTGCTACTAACCAGTTGCAACTCGTATGAAATTAAATTGCTATTTTTAATTCTTTTTTGAATTTACTATTTATTACTAATTATATTAGCTATAGACTTTTTTTTGTTTAATCTAAGCCTACTCTCATCAGCCTTGGGTTTCCATGGCTTCCGAGTGAGTTCAGGGTAACCTCTTGGAGCCTTGTGCTTGTATAGTAGGTACTATTGCAAGTATATGAGAACGCGTGGCCCTCCTTTCACATGCTAGGAACAGTATACGAGTTCACGTGCTAGGCTCCTGCACTGGTTAGTAGCACATGTAATGGTCCATATCCAGCGGCGACGAACGCACGGCCCTAGCGGCGGCGGCGATGCGTTTCCTTATTGAAACTTCCAGTGTGTCCGTCTGCAATTAGCCCTTGCTATTTTTCCTGCTTTCGTCATTACTTAGATACATATGTCTTTGACTGCGAAATCGAAGAGTTAGTCCCACGAAGAAGAGAGCTCCACATCTTCCACAAGAAGGAAAGAACATAGTATGACATTATGTTTCTAATTTATCTAATGAGAAACATTCTTGGGGCCTTCGTTGAAATAATGCACGATTTAAAATTGTAAGATTTGTTAGTGCTACAATATATATTATATAACAAGTTTCTGATAGCAATGTACATCAACTTACCAGCATATAAGGTAAATAATAGGCTTATTTACTGATCTTCCTTCTTTATGCAGTTCAAGATTTGGCATAAAATCTTTGTCTTCTGATCTTCTCATGTGGTTGGTATAGTACACACTACTCTAGATCTTGACATCACTGTCGGTTCAAAAAACCCCTTCGTTGTCGGATTTTGATCCGGCAGTGGTATACCGGCAGTGACGTGGGATTGACATGACTACCGGTTCTTATGAACCGACAGTGATACTGTCGGATTTTGAACCGGCAGTGACGTGGGATTGACATGACTGCCGGTTCTTATGAACCGACAGTAATGTGAACCGGCAGTGATGTGGTTTTTAGGAAAGCCAAAAAATTCATTGAAAAAATAGGGAAAATTTTTTAATACCGGGAGAGGCCTCACTGGATAGCCACACGGCCGCGCGTCGCAAGTCACAAGTCAAGCGATTTTTCACCCGAAAAACACGTGCTTCGCGGCCACCGACGCTCGAACCCCTGTCGTCCTGCTTCACGTCTTCGGCCTCTAACCACTCCACCTGCAAGCTGTTTGTGTCCAAATGAGATTTTTGTCCTAGCCATTTTATGTTGATCTAATTTTGAAATGAGTATTTGGGACCCTAAACAAATTCAAATGAAAAAGTTATCAACCACAAAGTTTTATAACTTTTCGAGATCTATAACTTTTATTTTGGTAGTTTCTCCATCCGAGGTCGTTTACAAAATTTAAATTTCAAATTTAAGAAATTCAAACGTAGTTTTCCATGAAAAGATGATTTCAAATCAAAAAGTTATCAACTACAAAGTTTCATAACTTTTTGAGATCTACAAATTTTGTTTTTAGCTGTTTATCCATCTAAGATCGTTTAAAAAATTCAAATTTCAATTTTTTGAAATTCAAACGTAGTTTTCTTTGAGAAGATAGTTTCAAATCAAAAAGTTGTCAACTATGAAGTTTCATAACTTTTGGGGATCTACAACTTTTATTTTGGTAGTTTCACCATCCGAGGTCCTTTACAAAATTTAAATTTCAAATTTTAGAAATTCAAACGTAATTTTCCTTAACAAGATGATTTCAAATGAAAAAGTTGTCAACTACAGAGTTTCATAACTTTCCGAGATCTACAACTTCTATTTTAGTCATTTGATCATTTATTCATCCGACATAGTGGTAGTAACATTGTTCACAAATGTTACATATCCCTCTTATTGTTTATGAAACTATAAGAGAGATATGTAAATTTTGTCAACAATGTTATTACCACTTTATCGGATAAAGAAATGACCAAAATAAAAGTTGTAGATGTTGATAAGTTCTACAACTTCTATGTTCATGATTTTTTCGGCTGAAATCATTTAGTGTTCCAAAATAACGTTTGAAGTTGCCATTTTTTAAAATTCAAAATTCAAATAGATAAAACACAGCCACATGAAAATATGGATAAAATAATAGCGGTAAGAACACAATAAATTAATAGAGCATGATTTTAGAAATTTTTAAAAAAAATCATCAAATTTAAAGTTAGTATGAGGGAGAAATACTACTTACAAGTTTTAGCCCAAGATTAAAAAGAGAAATCAGAGTTCTTCAATAATTTTAAATTTTAATTTTCAAGTAGTAAATGATCTCAAATGAAAAAGTTTTCAACTACAAAGTTGCATAACTTTTCGAGATCTACAACTTTTGTTTTGGGTGTTTCTCCATCTGAGGTCATTTGAAAAATTCAAATTTTAAATTTTAGAAATCAAACATAATTTTCGTTAGATAGATTATTTCAAATGAAAATATTTGGACATCCAAACAATCTAAATTTAAAAAAGTTTGAACTACAAAGTTGTAAATCTCGTCGAGTACTACAACTTTGATATAAAGTTCATCTTCATTGGACATCATATGAGAAACTTATGAAGTTTTCTTACAGCATATCACTGTTGGTTCAAGCCACGAACCGACAATGATACTAAGAGAGAATTCCTTATTTGACACTGGAAAAATGAGTCGTTTCTTTTTTGTCCTGAAATTTTCTTCGTTCCCTATTTGACACTTACTTCAACTTTCATCCCTAATTTGACACTACCGTCAAATCCGTTAGCTAACGGTGTTAATCGGTCATTAAAAAGACGTTTTGCCCCTAGAAAAAAAAAAAGCGCGTAAGCAAATTTGAGAGGAAAAAAAATTGCGCCTGCCTCTATGTGCATGCGCCAACAAAAAAAAGACCACCCGACCAATGATGCATGCATGCAACAGCGCCTCCGCATGCGTCTAGGGGCAAAAACGTCTTTTTAACAGTCAGTTAACACCGTTAGCTAACGGATTTGACGGTAGTGTCAAATTATGAATGAAAGTTGAAGAGAGTGTCAAATAGGGAACGAAGAAAATTTCAGAGCAAAGAAATGAACAACTCATTTTCCCAGTGTCAAATAATGAATTCTCTCTACTAAGTATCAGTGTCGGTTCTTGGTTAAAACGGCAGTGATGACCCAATATCACTGTCGGTTCTTGGCTAAAACCGACAGTGATATAAATCAACAGTGAATACTTGAATATCAGTGTTGGTTGGTCCTATCAATACCGATTTTAGCCAAAAACCGGCAGTGATGGTCTATCATTGTCGATTTTTTAAAATTCGGCAGTGATAAGACCGGCAGTGATGTCCAATTATGTAGTAGCGACACTTTGTAAGTTCAAAAGAAAATTACCTCTAATACATGTTCCTGTTAGTTAATTCTGTCATATTCTGCTAAATGAGCAGGACTGCTGAGTCCCAGTCGGTGCCTATGTCTCCTCCCCCTACGTTGCTGCCAACTACAACCTCACTCAGTTGTCCATGCTCAACAGATCGTCATATTCAACGTACACAGATGGCATCAACTGTGAGTAGTCGCACTCAACTTCTGTTACTTGAGCCTTAGTCCTCTACATATACCAATTAGTTTGAAGATAGGACACAAAAAATTGACATCGAACAGGTTTTAATAACATCTATGTTTCACTGAACAAAAAGCTGTATTATTGCTCTTTGCTCAAAATTCCATACGACCTTTACAGGACAAATTTAAGCTACCGCCAAGATTAGTCGTATAAGATATTTTCTTTGTTTGGGCAATATCCGTTACCATCCAAAATATACCCAATACGTAGATACCTCATCTCCTCTATTAGGCGATAAAATTGATTAATTCCTCTTTCCTAAATAGTGCCATCTAACTGTTTGATCAATCCTACGTACTGATATTGATAATATATGTCAACAAAGAATTTAAATTTACAAGATTGGCATTATAAACCTAGTTGATCTAGACATGAAATAAGCAAAGTACGCCATACCACAGATAGCATTTGTTACACTAATAAGCTAGGGTCCATAAACTGCCTCAGCAAGAAGGCTTACAACTTATCCATTAATTAATCAACTTCATAAATAGCAGCACAACTCACTGTTTTTTGTGCTACGGAGGTGGACGTACAGGTCCACACATACATATATATATAGAGCCATTTGGCGTCATGCATGGATCCTTCAGCTTCGGTGCGTTGTGCAGCAGCTAAGTACACGTACTAGACCTGCAAAACATGAATCCAAACCGGAACTCGATTGGAAGAAAAATTAAATGAACTGCATGTTATAATTGCAAGAACTACGTACTCTAGAAAATTGAAAAATATATGTCGTTTTACCTTTGGACAGATCCGGCGAGAATCCAAACAATCCAGCTCTCCCCTGCCCACGTGTCAAGCAGTGGAATGGCCCCCTAAGTTATATATACTACTACTAGTACTGTACAGTAACTACTCGTCGAGCGGAACCCGCACGAACCCGCCATTTCCCGAGTCGCCAGTTCCAACCAACTGTCACCGTCTCCGGTGGCGGATCTAAAAAAAATTTAGAAGAAACTAAACAAAAGTGCTATAGCAACGTAGCTTCAGTATTACCCCCACAAAAGTTAAATTTAATAGTTTAAAATAGTCTTATCTTAAAACATTGATGAACAATAAAAATCACAAAATACATCATGAAACATAAAGTATGCGGTTTATCCATGCCGCAAAGGCTAAATTACGAAACTAATAGACGATGCGTGACAGTGACAACCATTATTCATCCGAAGAAGCAATCTACATAAATAGATATAATTGATTGATTAGTCAAACATATATGGACCTCTAAATTATGAATTTAGAAGAGAATAGAGCGTACCACTAATTTTTTAGGCAATAACATACGGTGTTTTTTCATCTCTTGAAACCGTTTTTATGATCTTTTCATTATCAATCTTTCTAAATATCTCATTCTCATTATAGCATATCATCAAGTCATTGAGCCATTCATCACCCATTTTACTACGCAAATCTGTCTTTATAATGGACATGGCTGAAAATATCCTCTCAACTAAAACCGTTGCCACCGGTAGTATCAAGGTTAGCTTAATGAGACGATAAACCAATTTATAAGATGTGTGCATATTATTCTTGACCATAATTTCAGCAACTTTTCCAAGTTCGGTGCATCTAAGAAAATCTGGAGTTCTAGCACGGTTGACGAATTCTCTAAGTTGATTTGGCAAAATAGTAAGGTTACCAATATCAAAATCCTCAGCATAAATTTCAGCAAGCCTTATAAGTTTGTCCACGTCAAAATTAGAGAAGTAGTTCCATGGGTTAAACAAGCCATGCATACCAATAACTCTAAACTAATTTCACTAAATCGATGATTCAGCTCAGCCAAGATGGCATCAATGGCAACAAGAAAAATCTCAACATGATAGTAATGCATGTTTGTTACCTTTTGGTTTCTATGTCTAGATGTCCCTCTAACATTTATTTCCTTATTCATATCTAGCACTTCAAACTCATTCTTCTCACAGAATGTTTTCACTTTTCTGAGTAATGGCTCCCAACCATTGTTCCTCATATCCTGCAAGCCATCTTTCATATTAGTGATCAAATGCAATGCTTCAACTATGTCTTGATCCTTCCTTTGCAAAGCACGTGACAAAATATCTGTCATGCTCAACAATTCTATCATCAAATGCAGGATTAACACAAAATCAAAGCTCTCCATTTTTCCAATTAAACCTAAAGCTCCACCATTACATGTTGGTTTAATGGAATCTTTCTTCACTATCTCAAGGACATCTATAATAGCCCCCCACATCACCAAAATGTGAAGCAATGTTTTAAGATGTGAACCCCATCTAGTATCTCCAGGCCTAGCTAGGATACTTTCCTGGTTCAAACCTCTTCCAGACATAATCTCACCATCCTCAATCTTTTCAAGCAACACATCATGATGCTTTGCAAGCAAGGCATCCTTTCTCATACAAAATGCAACCACATTATTGACTATTAAAGGAACATAGTTAAATAAATCTACAATGTCTACACTAGATGTTGAAACAATAAAACCACCGGTTGCAATTGATGGGCAAAACAATGCACATAGAATAAGGATTTTCATTACGAATCAATTTCTGCACCCCATTAGATTCACCTCTCATATTAGAAGCTCCATCATACCCTTCTCCATGAAGCATAGAGATTGACAAATTGTGACTTGAAAGCATACCGATCAAAGCTTCTTTCAATGCAATAGCTATACAACTCTCAACATGCTAAAGTCTAAGAAATCTCTCCACCACTTTCCCTTCATCATTCACAAACCTGCACGCCACATTTCGTTATGTGTTAGTATAATTGTAGAAATAGAGGTACAAATCTAGCAAGAAAATGCAATATCGACTACTAACCTTAGAATCACCGCCATTTGCTCCTTAATTGATACATCTCGAGACTCATCAATAAGCACCGAGAATTTTCTTCCTCGAATCTCATCCATAATGACAGTTGTGACTTCCTCCGCACAAGCTTTTGTAAGGTCTTTCTGTATATGATGAGATAACATATGGCAATTTTTAGAACCTTTTTCATATGCCTCCTTCACTACCTCAACCTTATCTTTATACCATTCAACCATCTCTCTATAGTTTCCCTTGTTGAGGGAAGAACAAGTCTCATCATGTCCATAGAAAGCATCCCCTTGCAATATGAGAAATCTTGCAACATCTAAAGAAGATGTCAAACGTATCTCATATCGTTTTTCTTCCTCCGTGCTTACTTCAACTAATTTTCTACCCACATTTGTCCTTTGGTTCATAAAGTCATCACATTTTAGCCTAGCCTCTACATGAGTCTTGCAAACACTGTGGTTACTTAAAGTATCCTTAGCTTTCTTCCAATTCACATAACCTTGTGTGCAAAGTAGAACTCCCAATTTTTTCAGGCTTTGCCGAATTAAAGAAGAGATAGCAATATAAGCAAAAAGCTGCATCCTTGGACTCACTGTACTCTAGCCAATCAAATAAATCAAACCAAGTCTTTTGAAATGATCTCCATTCACCACCAATCCATTTACGAGAAAATTGAAATTCATGAGGTTGGGTTGGACCACTCAAAGCATGTTCTCTCTTTACTTGGTCTCTAATTTCAAGTTCATAATCATCAATTGGTTTGCGATTTCAAGGGTCCACAATCATGTTCAATTGACTAAACTCTGCTCTAGGTTTCTTTGGTTGACTTGTGCTCTCATTAGTATGTGGAGTTGATGGACCACTACCACTAGAACTTGAAAAGTAATTGTGCAGAGTTCTTTTCGACATTCTGAAATCTGACATTCCAAATTTTCAATCACATATTCAATTCAATAATGAAACATTCAATCACAAACAAATAAAGATTTAAGTTTGGTTCACCAAATCACCTTGCTTGTAGTATGCTTGTTGCTCGACTTCCTACAATCCAGCTCCTGCGGTCACTCCAACGGTCGTTTTTGACAGCCCGGTGTGCTGTTGCAGCGGAGAACTGACCGGACGCGTTCGGTCACCATGACCTACGCGATCCGATCACCACATAATGTGCTGAGTTAGACAGTAATAGTTATGTTTTGAATGGGGGTATAAATACATCTCCTACTTGTCCAATTCAGCCCTCTTGCCCATTTGTTCATCTGAGAAACACCTTTGGAGTGCAAGAGCCAAGTGGGGTGATTGAGATTTTAGAATCCAAGATTAAGGACCTCATTAGTGCATAGGGAGTAGCAAGTTTGCATCCACCATTTTCATTAGTCTTGTCATAGTCAAGTGAGAGTTTTTGCTTGTTACTCTTGGTGATCGCCATCACCTAGATGGCTCGGTGGTGATTGGAAGCTTAGTGATCATCCGGCGGAGCTTATGGATGACCCAAGTCATCTTATGAGCGGTTGTGGATGATTCACCGTGATGGAGTGTCGAAGAATCAGCTCGTAGAGAGGCTTGATCCTTGCACGGATCAAGGAGGAGCTACACCCTTGCGCAGGTGCTCCAACGAGGACTAATGGGGAGTGGCGACTCTCCGATACCTCAAAAATCATCGCCGCATTCCTCTCCCTCTCTTTACTTTGAGCATTTACATTTGAGCAATTCAATTCATGTCTTTACATTCTCAAAATTGCCATGCTAGAGTAGGATTAGAACCTAGAGTACAAAACTTTTGTGTGGTAGAACAGTAGAAACACTTTGAGGCACAAGGGGGTGAAGTGGGCTAAGTGTAGGGCTTCATTATTGCAAGAAATTTAGAATTAGTCTAATTCACCCCCTCTTGGGCATCTTGATCCTTTCAATTGGTATAAGAGCCTCGTGCTCCTTAAATTATACTTAACTGTCTAAAGCAAGATGTCCCACGAGGATGACCCCCTCCCGTCTTTGAGGGAGATGATTTTCTTTACTAGAAAATTCACATGGTGTACCTAGAGGCTTTAGATGTTGAAGTGCTTAGAGCCGCTATACAAGGCTTCCCAAAACCTAAGGATCCCGCCAACCTTCAAGGTGATGAGGTTCACTACGAGAAGTGGAATGCAAAGGCTAGAAACACCCTCTTTAGAGGCCTTTGCAAGGTTATCTTTAATCGTGTGCGGAACCACAAAGACTCCCATGCTCTATGGTTGGATATTTGTGCCCTCCATGAGGGAACCAAGAGTGAGTGTGAGGAACGCTATCACCTTGTGATGAAGAAGCTTAATTCCTTTGAAATGCTTCCTAGTGAAAGTGCTATTGAAATGTATTCTCGCTTAAATGTTTTTGTAGAGGAGGTCAATGGTCTTGGACTCACACAAATGCAAGCACCCGATGTTATGAGAAAGATCTTGAGTGTCCTTCTCATTGACAAATATGGCCATATTGTGATGGTGCTTTATCAAGGTGATCTTTCCGCCGCTACACCAACTCAAATATTGGGAAAGATCAATGCACATGAGATGTACATGCACATCACTCCACAAGAGAGCTCCTCTTCAAAGAAGAAAGATTTGGCATTCAAGACTAGCCAATAGAAGAGAAGCAAAGAGAAAGTTGCTCTTGATAGCTCTAGTGATGATGAAGTTGATGATGCAAGTCTTGCCCTCATGGTGAGAAGAACCACCAAGATGCTAAAAAACTAAACAAGAATAGTGTCAAGTTTGATGGCAAGAAGAAGAAATTCTTTACTAGTAGTAGAAGGAAGCCCATCTCCAAAATGGATTGCTACAATTGTGGAGATCTTGGTTGTCTAGCTCATCAATGCCCCAAACCCAAGAAAGACAAGTTTAAGAAGAAGTATAAGGACAAGAAAGATGACTCAAGTGATGATGATGAAGAGAAGAAGAAGAATAAGCCATACAAGAAGAAGGATGGCAAGGAGTATCACAAGAAGAAGAAAAATGGCAAAGCTTATATTGTTGGTGATTGACACATGGATAATGAATCATCAAGTGGCTCATCCGATGATGATAGTGATAATGAGAAGGAGAAGGTGGCCACTCTTGTGATTGGTTCTTCACTATCTCCACCGCCACCACCGCCATCACCCTCTACACACCTATGCCTCATGGCCAAAGGTGAATGAAAGGTACAAAGTGATGATGATAGTAGTGGTGATGACAATGCTAGTAATGATAAAAATGGTAGTGATAGTGATGAAGAATTTGAATCACCTTCTTATGATGATCTTGTCAAATTGCTAAATCAATATACTAAAATCATTAGAAAGACAAGAGCTAAGAATGAGAAGCTCGAACTTGAGAATGATTCATTCTTAGCAAAGTATGACATAGCCAAAAAAGCTAGTAATGAGCTTAGAGAAGAAAATAAAATTATGTCATCCAAGCTCAAGGAGCTCAAAACCTCTAAAAAAGAGCTTAGAGAAAAACATGATAAACTTGAGGAGATACACAATGAGCTCATCATTAGTTACAACTTGCTAAAAGAAGAGTACACCAATCTCAAGATTAATCATGACAATCTTGTTCTTTCTCATAAGTTTTTATCCAATGAGCCGCATGAAGCTACTAACAATGTTGTTAAGATTGATATAGCGACATCATGTGATGACTTAATTGTTGAGAGCATTGAGCAAGGTTCTAGTAGCAAAGGCAAGAAAGTGGTTGAGTCTGACAACTATGATGACTATGTCATGCTCAAGAATAAGAATGAAAAGTTCAAGAAGGATCTTAAAAAGCTATCAACCACCAACACAATTGTGATAGAGAACCTTGACAATGATCATGATATGGCTCTTGAGAATGAGATGCTTAGAGAATAGAACAAGAGAGTCAAGATGGAGAAGAATCATGATGAACTTAGAGAAGAGAACAAGAAACTCAAGTTAGAAAAAGAACATCTCAAGACCAGTTTGAGCAAGTTCACAAGAGGCCAACATCTTCAAAGTGAGCTACTAATGAACACAGTGATGAAGATGGATAGAAGTGGGATTGGATTCTTGGCAAATCAAGAAAAGAAAACTCAAGCTCAACATCAACAACAATATAAGTCAAAGCCTAAGCCAAAGAGATGCTTTGAGTGTGGACAAGAAGGTCATTTTGCTCATGAGTGTGAAACTCCACCACCACAACCCTTGCCCAAACATGCTAGACCCTTTGCTTTCAATGCTCACTACATGCTTAGAAAGAATTCTAGTGGAAAGATGAAGGTCATGTTCTTAGGTCCACCAAATAAGAATAGGTCTAAGCAAATTTGGGTTACTAAGTCACTAGTTGAGAAAGTCAAAGGCCCTCATCAAAATTGGGTCCCTAAACAACAAGCTTGATCTCTTGTGTGTGTAGGTGAACTACAAAACCGGTGGAAGTTATTGGGTTATTGATAGTGGTTGCACTCAACATATGACCGGTGATCCTCATATGTTCACCTCACTAGATGAAGAAGTCGATTGTCAATCAAGATTACATTTGGTGACAATTCAAAGGGCAAAGTATAAAGATTAGGCAAAGTTGCAATATCAAATGACCACTCAATTTCAAATGTGCTTCATTCAGCTTCAACTTGCTATCCATTGGACAATTGTGTGATCTTGGCTTTCAATGCTTATTCACCGAGAAGGAAGTGGTTGTATCAAAGAAACATGATGAGCAAGTCATATTCAAAGGCTTTAGATACAACAATCTATATCTAGTTGACTTCACCTCCGAAGATGCTAATTTGAAGACATGCTTATTCACCAAAACATCACTTAGGTGGCTTTGGAATAGAAGGCTTGCACATGTTGTGATAAGTACACTCAAGAAGCTATTGAAGAAAGAATGGGTGAGACGTTTGAAGGATGTGAAGTTTGAGAAGGACAAGCTTTGTAGTGCTTGTCAAGCCAGCAAGCAAGTTGCAAACACTCATCCAATCAAAGCTTACATGTCAACATCAAAAGTGCTAGAGCTTCTCTACGTGGATTTACTTGGACCAACATCTTACAAGAGTTTGGGTGGCAACCTCTATTGTCTTGTGATAGTTGATGATTATTCAAGATACACTTGGGTGTTCTTCCTTCATGACAAGACCGAAGTGACCACATGTTTCAAGAAGTTTGCCAAGATAGCACAAAATGAATTTGAAGTAAAGATCAAGAAGATAAGAAGTGATAATGGAAAAGAATTTGTCAACACAAATATTGAAGAGTATTGTGATGAAGTTAGGATCAAGCATGAGGTTTCCGCAACCTACACTTCTCCACAAAATGGTGTAGTAGAGAGAAAGAACCGGACACTAATTACCCTTGCAAGAACAATGCTTGATGAATACAATACACCTCAAGATTTGTGGGCGGAAGCTATCAACACCGCATGTTGTGCATTCAACTGTCTATTTCTTAAAAGTTTCTTGGCAAGATCCCTTATGAGTTGCTCAATGGAAAAAAGTCGGATGTCTCATTCTTCTAGGTGTTCGGCTGCAAATGCTACATCTACAAGAAGCAGCAACACCTAGGGAAGTTCTAAAGATGTTGTGATATTGGTTTTCTTGTTGGTTACTCATCGAA